AAAAATCAAATATAAAGTTAAAGTTTATAATAACACTAAAAAAAATTAAATTTTTAATGTTATAATATATGATATTATAAAAAAATTAGTTTTTAAATTAAATCATATTCACTCTCTTTATTCAAAAATTAAAAATAAAATAAAATAAATAAATAAAAAGAAAACAAGCATACCCAATCCCCACCTCCCAATCTCACCCGTCAACAAAATCTCCATTAAGATTTAAGATAATTACCACTCAATCCCTTAACCTTCATTCATCAGTTCATTGTTTTCTCCGCCCTCGGTTTCCTCTTTTCTACCATTTTTGCTCCATTGAAGCTCCCTTTCTCCTTATCTATCCCTTTTCTTTACAACAGATTTTATCCTTCTTTGCTTTCCCTTCAACCTAGCTTACTCTTTCATCCTTATTCCTTTTTTGGGCAATAAATTTCTTCCATTTTTGCTCCATTTAAGCTTCCTCTCTCCATGTTTCTTTGCTCTTTCTGGAAACAGATCATCAGTAAGAGTTTCTAAATCAAACAAAGGGAAGTTAACACCTAAAATTGGAAGCATGGGTGGCAAGTTCAAAGCCGATCCGGTGCCGATCTGGTGAGACCCAATGCAAAAGTCCAGATTTTGTAAACTCATGCGTTCATCCAATTTCAAACAATTTTACGAGTTCATGGCGAGTCCACCACGAGTTCACGGAATCCCGATTTTATAGACAATCTAACTCGTTTTCCATCCCTAAAAACGTAAAATCGTACGAGTTTACGAGATAACTCGTAATTTTGACGACAATGCTTCTCTCCCTTCTCTCCCTTCCCTCCCCAAAACCTGGGATTTTCTCCAAAATATTATAGCTACCAACCAAGAAAGACTAAAGCAATTTCATTTTACTACAGAGCAGTACAAGAGAATAGAGGCTTTCACCATCAGGAATATTGGTACCGGTTGACTATGAAAACATCTAAGAATATTACTGCCTTTCCTCATCATCATGTCTACTCGCTTTATACCAAATTAACTGTTCCATGAATCTTTTATATATAATTTTAAGTAATACTTTTATATAGAATATAAGTTGTAAATAAAAAAAATTTATTCTATCAAAAAATTTTCAGTTACAAGTCATGCAATATAAGAGACAAAGAAAATTATTAATATATCTTTCTATTCAATATATTGAATAACGTTCATTATTTAATAATTAAAATTTATTTTTAAAATTTTTTTCATTTTAAATTTAAATTTAAAAATATTAATTTCTTAATTATTGAACTAATTAAATATTATTAAATATGTTAAATCAAAAAATATATTAATCATTATCCAAAAAGCATATATCAATTAAAATTAAATACAAAATGTCAATAAAACAACTAATTTGAGACGAATGGAGTGTCATTTATTTTCTTCACAACAGCAGCAAGCTCGTTCTTTATTCCAGCATCATTTGGCTCCAACTTCAGTGCTTCTTGAAGCTTTTAACTACAGCGTCAACATCATTAATTAAGTGCGATGTGTGCGTGCCCTTGATCAAATAAAGCTTTTGCATTGTCATAACCATCACCATCACCATCACGCATTGCAAATTTTGTGTCCAACAGTGCTCCTTATAGATTGTCTAATTTCAATTTATAAACCTTTAAAATTAAATTTATTTGATAAGTAAATATGGTTTTATGAATTAAGTTTAGAATTTAAATCATGAGACCATCATTTGAGGAAATTAGTTTTCTTCATTGCACTAAAACAGTGTAGGAAAGGTATAACATTAAAATTGATTGAGAAAGAATTAATCTCAAGATTTAAAAAAGTCGACCTGAAAACATCAAATTGTAATTTTTTTTTAAAAAAAAAAATCAATTTACAAGCAAAGCTGTTCATAAATATTGGCGATTTTGTCTTCCTCAAATATGTGATCTTATCTTCTTGAATCAACTTAATCCTTGGCTATTGATAAGCAAAAAAGTTTGGCCGAGTACTGAAATGCAACATGACCTTATTACTGTCATTTACGCATCCCAGGCTTTATTACTGTAATTTAAGATTGCTTAAGGATGATCTGGTGCTCTTCTTGGTTAATTCCAACTTTCCTCCCACTCTCTCATCTGATATATTTATATCAAATAAGTGGTAGCCACAATCTTTGTCCAATGTGACCCTAAAAGGAAGTAAACAGGGAACAAGTAGGCCTAGGCCACCAATGATTACACGTTATAGAAGATCTGCAATAAATCAAAACCGGAAATTCAAATGAGAATAATATGATAAGTCCATAAAAAACAATGTATGTTGATTTAGAGAATAGAGAAGGGGAGGTACCTGGGTATAGCCAACAAGAAATCTTTGGTAAATCAGTAATTCAATATTGGTATTTTTGCGCAACACCATTACTAGTAAATAATGCATCCTCGTAAGGGATGCATTTTGGTAGAAGTAGGTACTTGTCTTTCATTACAAAAGAATGTAAAGAGAAGAGAGAATTGAGTCTTCTGAGCAAGGTTTGAAATGGAGTTACTTATTTATGGAAAAACCAAAATATTGAAAATTATGGCAAGAGAGAAAAGCAAATCACAGTAGATTTGTTACCCCTTTTATAGCCTCCTACGAAAGTGACCAAGCGCATTCATCCCCATGGAATGTTACCATGAAGGAATGCCATTTTTTTTTTTTTTTATGATCAACAAAATAAATGTTTATTAGTAAAAAATTATAATAGAAATTCTAAACCCTAAACAGTCATTGTAAATTTATATAATCAATACAAATTTCTTCAAAACTATTAAAAATCTATCTATCTAACCTCCTAGATGATCACATTTATTAGTTTAACCCTTAATCACTCCAATACTTCAAAATATATTTGTATATTCATATATTCAAATAATACATAAATAATATCACTATGCATAAAAATAATACAAACATACACGAAGCAATCATATTGTTTCTTATGTTTTTCTAATTTTAACATTTGTTTATAAAATGCAATTTTTGTCAATGAAGTGTAATTAGTTGAGAGGAGAAGTGTCAAAAGATTCTAGAGATGACTAATAACTATCATTTAGTATGATGTATATTTCTGCACGTTTAAACGGAGTAATAAGATATGCAATTTATTTGGGTGGAATATGATGAGCGTGCATGGTAAACTAAAAGCTGAGACAACGCAGCGAAGTATTTCCTCTGTATGTAAAGCCTTTATGATTCAAGGATTGATTCATATCCTACAAGATTTCTCGTATCCAACTATATTTTTTGTAATCTAAAACTTGAAAGGTTTACTTATTACCTTTTTAAAATACAATAAAAAGATTTTTTTTTTTTCCTTTTGTATTTTAAAAAGGAAAATTAGAGTTTTTCCACGCCTAGATGATTTCAGATGGTGAATTTAGTCTACAGGGAGAGGAATATGAAGAGTTTTGACGTTAAAAATATTTCAACCACTAACCACTAACCATATGATGAATGAAATATTTCTAAAATTTACACCTTATCTCATATATTTTATGATTGTAATTGAATGTTTTAAAAATTTTAGTTCAACATGTCCCAATCTTTCCTGATATCTTAAAGGTTATATGTGAAAATAATGGGTTGAAATTTGGGGCGTGAAAAGTTGAGACATGGCATGGACACACAATACCTCCACCGTAACCATATATATGCATTTGTGAAACTCAAAACCAAGGATTATATTGTGCACAACAATGTAAAAACCGTCTTTTATTTATTTATTTTTAACTTAGGGTAATCGTTAAGTATAAAGGGAGTAATGCCTAAAAATATATCTCAAAATTTTCATGTCCAAGCACGTTCTCACAAAAAAGATGGCCACTAAATTGTATAGTGCCGGACATTTTTATTTTTTATTTACAATGAAAGTGTTCTTAAATTAACTTTTACATAAATCTCAATTAATTTTTCTTTAGACTATTTTAAAAGAGCACCCCGCATCAATGTTTGAGAAAATTAATTTTATTAAATACTATTCTCAAAATTTGAGCAGTAGCTAAAACCGTATTGTCATAAAAGGTTTAAATATCTCATGTACACTCCAATAAATGTACGCAGTTTATTTTGATGGATGAAAAAATGAAAATGGATTACATTTATGATGTGCAAAATTTTTCCCCAGTTGGTAAGGTAGCATGTAATCATCTCTTAAGTCAGTTTTGCAGTCATCTCCCCACCTTGAGTCAGAGCTCTGAGACGACCAAGTCATCTTGAAACAATATAATCGATAGCCACGAAATAACTTCCAACAATCGCAAACGAAGCAATCCCACTGCGTGCCGTCCGCAGCCAAATGCCACGGAACAAGAGATTTCTATCTGCAGGGTGGATTCCTGTTAGTCCTTCAAACCAGTTCCCTGGTCTTCTCCATTTCAGAAGCTTTCTCTCCATTAAAATATACTGCAAGGAAATAAAAGCCAATCAGCATACATAAATTAACTCAGAACATGGTTAACCAAATACTAAGCTCAAGTCTCAAACTACTTAAGAAATGCCAAAAAAGGAGGTAAACCCACATAACTGTTTTATCCGTTACATAAGACCACAGACCAGAGGTAAAAGTTCAGAGTAAATACATGCTGGTTCAAATATCTCCAACTTGTACCCCATCTTGTTAGGATGAGGAACCTACACCTTACCAATTGGGCTACAAGAACAAGTGTTACAGCTGGTACACGACGAGAGAAAACCAATTATAAAAGAAAAGCATCGTGTGCTAAGCCAACAGTTTAGTAAGACCTATTACTTAACCATGGTATTTGAAAAAAATATGTACTTTTTTTGTTTATGTAATAACCTGATAAAGAAAAAGGCAAAACCGTTCTGTTAAGTTGACATCTTAGCTAATATTTTTAGTATATAACTAAAAGCAAAATAAACTTTCTTGTAACTGGCATACCTTGGGCAGCACAATGCACTGTGACCGAGTTTTAGCAGTGTCAAACCCATGAGATGCAGCAGCAGCAAACGAACCTGAAAACCCAGCTGTAAGACTAATGGCTAGAGGAGAGAGTGGACCAATTTCATCATCAGACCTGAAGGGAAAGCAGTAAAATAATCCCCAGTTAGCCATAGAAGCTAGTAACCTAATAAGTAAAGTCTTTTCAAGAGAGCAAGCAGCATGAATTCACAGTTGATAGATTAACACAATCATACACAAGAATACTACCAGTCAAATGAGAAAAACAGTGGACTAAACAACTAATTTAACAGAATAAACTAAAAGTTTCAGCATCCAAATTTCTTTGCAGCAGAATGGGTGAAAAATAAAGAAGGAACATCACATTGGTAGGGGATCCATTCCAGCTGCCTTCCAGCCAAGCATTACTCGGTGTAGAAACTGCCAAGTGGAAAAGAACATGCCACCAAAAATTGAATCTCGAATGACTCCTGAACGTAAACCTCTCCAAAATGCACCCCAGCCCTCCAAAGAGACAATGTCAGATAGCCTCCGCACTTCATAAACTGAAGGAGGTTTCCCAGATCCAGTCATCATCCAAGGATGCTCTAGTAAGGCACCAGCAAGATTAGGATGTTTGCTGTTTAATACAGATAAAAGACCCACAGATTGATTCAATGCCTTCAGATCCAGAGTATATCCAGGTAGAAATTTTGCAATTACTGGCACAACAGCTTTACTTTCTGTAACCGGAGCTCTGACTGGAATGCGGGAGGCAGAGGTTACCTGTGCACGAAGTTTAACAAGTTCAAATGGAGAGCTTATCAGTGACTCCACAGCACCAGCTGCCATCCCAGCCATAAGGGCCTCAGAGACATAGGCATAATTGTCTTCTCGACCATCTGCAGAAATAGACAAAAACTGGATTTAACAATGTGGAAGAAGCATGAAGATACTGGAGAGTAAAGAGTATTGATTTTAACAAATTGTTCTTACTGCTAAATGCTATAGACACAAAAATATGCAATCACTCTGAGGTTGCACATATAGGATCTATAAATTTCAGTCTCATTCCAATTCTACCACCCTAAATTCATTACTAGTTCCAGAAAATTGAAACCATACACACAGGTTTTTCAGACAAGACTAAACTGGAAGAATGAAGAATCCCTTGAGGAAATTGGAAAAAAAGAAAAAGAAAAAGAAAAAGAAAACAAAACAAATCGAGCAAACTGAAATGAAAAGAATACCCTTATAGAAGGCTGTCAAAACTTCATAGATTCCAAAACGAGCTCCCAAACCAAATATTCTCCCACAGGCTAACCAATTAAAACCACTGTATAAACCTGGATTGTTCAAGAACGAGCAAAATCACATTAAACAGATAAAGAATTATGATACCAAGTTACCAGCCATTCAAACCATTTTGGTTGAATCTAAGAGGGAAAGCTTCTCTAAATGACAGCCTTCTTGTTGAGGACTAACCTGAATTTCCTGATAAAACTTGAACTTTGTTTAGAATCTGAAATGCAGTTAATTTTGAGCTGGAACCTGAACTAACCTGTTCACCCCAAAGTTAAGAACACATAAATTTTAACACCCCAAAAAAAAAAAAAAAAAAAAGGCAGAACAGAAACATACGGCTTTATGACTGCCTGTCACTTCATTTTCCTTTTTCTTTTTTAAAACATACTCATGAGTCATAACTACGAAAGGTCTAGTAAAGAAATTATGGCAATTCATAATTAATAAAACTGAATGAGGGTGTTGATTCTTGAAACTGTCAAGAGGGAAATCAAACAAACCTGAATAAGGGTTTTAATGGTGTCAAGGGGGTAAGTAAAAGCAGTGCCTAAAGTCACAGACCCCGCAGCAGCAATTGCATGTGTTGCAAAGAGGTGATTCTGAAGCAAGTCATCCATCTGAATCTGAAACAAGGGAAACGATGCCCATGTATGTTAATCGTCAAAACTATTTATTCTCACAGCCAACATTCTGCATATACGGCGTGAATTTGTTTTGGTGAAATGCACGCCACCTGTTTGATGAAATGCGTACTAAGATTGAAAAACTAGTAAGAGATAGAAATTCAAATCTGGAATGAAAGCATAGAGACACAATCCAAAAAACAATCTGGAATGATATCAAACAACTTACACCTGACCTGGTATTGAAATAAACTTGGTGTTTGTGTGTGAAAGAGGCAGAGATGGATGGAGAAAGATGGCTTCTTGGACTACAATGACTGACATTTATACTGCATAGATGACATCAATTACTTCAAAATACGGAAAAAGTGTCCATCAATGAAACACCCAAAACGAAACAGTTTCAGTTCATTTTGTTTATCTTCTCACTAGTCATTAACAGTCTGAAGTCATTAACAGTCTGAAAATTTCACCTCAGAACCAAAATTCTCAGCTAAGAAAGGATACTCGTAATATTTACGATACTTATACCTCAAAACCATAATTTGATGATTAACCCATGTATTACCTGTTGCAAGTGAATGTGTTAATCAACTATCAACCACCACCATTAGCTTGTTGGCATGCATAAATGCTGGGACTTAAGGCGGAGAAGCATCTAATAAATGGTGAGAGCAGGTGAAGTTGGGTCTTAAAATCAAAGAAGGAGATACAAATGGTGTGGCTGCCACTGCTTCCAGGTGAAGTTGAGTCTGGGAGAGGGAGACGGCAGCTTCAACGGAGTGAATCGAGGAAGAGAAAGACAGTCCCTAGTATTGAACAGGTCGAGGAGTTTTGGTCTGAGAAACAAAAACGGCGCCGTATATTGCTGGTGGGAAAATGCTCACAATCTTTTAATGAGAGAAAAAAAAAGACGGACTGCTTGATATTTTCTGTAAAATTATTTAAGTAATACATTAAACATATTTAAATAACTTAAGCAATGACTTATTAATTCCAATAGAAATAATTTAATTTCTTTAAAATAAAATTTCAAATTCAAATCTTTTAAATGATTGGATTCAATATGGTTGACAAATTGAATTAATTGTTTTTCTACTCATTAACAAAACCATGCCCATCAATTATTTTGAAAAATACAATTGACTTTGTATATAATTTTGAAAAATAAATAAATATCTAAAAATACATAAAATTCTTCCCAGGCAGACCTCTATCTCCTCTCCAACTATCCCACTCACGTTATTGCCTATGATATGTTACCGGCTCTGCTTCTGGTGGCACACAACCAGAGTCTTGGAGTCTCAAGGTCGTCACCAGTGATTGTTGGCACATGCCAACTACCACATTCTGACTCCTGCATTTGAATCAATGGAATTCGAGTCAAAATTGCAAGGAACTTATTCAAAAGTTGAGAGGTATTTAGTTGTCACATATAGTTGAGGTTATTAGATGCAGAAAAAGGCTTGTGATCTTTACCTGAATAACATTAGAATAGGGAGGTGGCATGAGTAGTTCAAGTCCTTTTCCTGAGACAGATAACCGAACCTGCAGATTATCAACAAAAAAAACAAACTTAACACCTTTTGTTTTCGAATTAAGCACTCTTATATGATGCATGGATCTGTTACTGAAAATTTCTGATTTCCATCCTCTGTAATTCATATTTGAGAGAAAAGCAACAGTGCAGATGGGTTCAAGGGTATACAAAACAGAATCTACAGCTAAAACCATTCAAATAGCAGATATATTTATATGCTTCTAAAGCAACCCAGATCTTTCACTATTTATTAGGCAATGGCTTCCATTGCACAAGATCAGAGCATAAAAAGAGAAATGGAAGTCAGCTTACGTATGGCTAGGCTTTAATCCTTCCATGGATCAAACATTTTCTGCTAAACTAATCCTTTGAGCCAGCCGTTGCTCTATGCTTGGTCAAAGGATTAGTTTAGCTGAAAACATTTGATCCATAGAAGGAATGAAGGATGCAAGAAAAACTCTTTAAAATGAAAAATCAACAACCAAATATGTTTGCAAAGTTGCAAGTAGCTAAGAAGAAGCTTGGAGGATAAGATGGGGAAGAATGTTGAGTTTGTATAAGATGGATTCTAAATAGCCAACAGAGCTCCAGCATTATTTTTATATCAAATTCCAGATGATAAGCAAAAATGTTCCTGTCATCATTAAAATTTACACCATGCTGCTCTTTGCAAGAAATAATTTGTATCTCAGCTGTTCCAGGCAGAGTCATCCACATAAACATTAGAAAAGCTAGATCATGGTGCAGCTAAAGTAAAATAAGGTAAGTAAAAATAAAACTATAGAAGCGATTCATGACAATAGAGAAATTACCTGATGCTTTTCCTTCCACCTTGGGAAAAAGGAAGTCCCAAGTAACTGGAACAAGTGGTCTCTCATCTCATCATTAGAGACTAACAAACACTTATTACTAACAGCAGCATATAGCCAGTACCTGATAGTAAACATTGAAGCATATTTTTAAGGAAAGAAGAATAATGAAGTGGATAATCATATGGCTATAAATGTCATAATAATACAGAAAAACTAAAGTGCCACTTTCTAACATAGCCTTTTCTCTTTTTAAGATTCTTAGTTTAAGAGAATGCAGTAAATCAGAATTCGCTCTTCACTCACTTGACAAAGTAGAATTCTAAATGAATAAACTAAAAGGCAGGAAGTAAAGAGAAAGCCTAACGTGATTTCAAAAGCAACAGATCAATGTTAAAAATAAAATGACAGCTCAGTTATGAGGTGCAGTTCATAAATGTTAAGAGTATTATAATCAAATATATGTAAACATATGAAGAAATGAATGGCAATCAAGATTCAAGAGTTTTTTTTCTTACAAATTTTAATAGCTAACTATGAATTGAAAGATAAAGAAAAAGACCTTGAATTGAAATGTCTTAAATGATGTAAATATAGTGTTAGGTAATTAGACAATACCCATTAATAGGTATGAGACGAGAACTTACCAATCATCATTTGAACCAAAAGGAGTAGCATAAAGTGCACCGGACTTTTTCCAACTCTCTAACAACTTCATATTATTAGGGTCCCGAGCAGGGCCGCCAGTGACACGATTTCTATGCAAAATAACAAGTGGCAATCTTTTTGATGGACTCATTTGATGTAATTTATTTACAACATCTTTAAGCTACAAGCAAACAACCATTAAGCAGATTATTTACAACCCTTGCTTTTCCAAATTGGAAAGATATAATCTGATAAAGCCCGTTTCTAATTCCACTGACCTGGCGAAAGTGGAAATAATGCAGATTGATAAGACCCACATTGGCACCATCTACCACTGCATCAAATGGACCATGCTGCTGTAGCCACTCCTGAATTTGTTCACCTTTAAAATTAGTTAGGGTGTAACCAAGAAACAATTACATATGTTGAGTTGGAAGGACGTATAGGAAGACTCAAAAGAGTGTAGAAAGTTAACAACAATGATAAAAAAAAATTATCAGTAATAACATAACAAGGAATACAGACAATGTTGATATATCATTCCAAACATTAAGATAAAAAGATCATTTTACTGTTACCATACAAACCTCAAAAGTGGCCAATTAGCAGTATCAGTTATGTACCGGCTGAAAAAACCAATATCATTAATGTCTAGAGTTTCTCAATCAGAGCATCATTAAATCTGAAAATTAGATTTAAAAACTGACAAAAATTAAGCAAAGTCAAAAACTAGTGGAAATTTGTTAAATTTACAAGTGCATGTGTAACAAAATGGTACAAACAGGACTTTAGACAAAGCTATTGGGCGTAATTCTAGGACTGTTTCTGTTCTCCACTGCAGCAGAACAACAACAACAACAACAAGACCCATAAGATTCGCATAGCCACACAGCATATTACTCAGTCAGGCCCCAGTAATCAGATAAGCCAAAGAAAGATCTCCTAACAACAGCTAGATGATCAGGTTTTATAATTGTCAAAAGGTTTTACTTCTTACAAAAGAAGACAATTAGTATGTATTTACTTAACTCTGAGACACAGGAATAGGTAGCAAGAGAAATAGATCTCCAGCTTCTTGAGGCCAGAGCTCTCATAACTGAAACTGAGGATGAATTGAGCACGTGGTGACATACCTGGAATTGCTTGAAATCAGCCCTAACCTCTCTTTCGCAGGCCAATTCAGATAATTTGCTAGCAAAATCTTCTGTCTCTTTTGGATCAATATCAATACAAACAAGCCTCTCCCCACAAGAATGACACACACCATTCTTGTCAACTTGAGTCCTCACTACCTTCCATTTCCCTCTTCCCAGCCACCCCTGTCCATGCCACCCTCCTCCTCCTCGAACAACTCCTTCCTTTATCTCGTTCACATCCCAACTCTCAGCCCCAACCTTCCCAGCAAGATCAGATTTAAACCAATCCTCAATAATTTCAAGCGTTGGTTCTGAGACCTGCCTTATAGATGCTCGCATCCTGTGTAGCATTTCATACACCTTGTCAGCTTTCCTTGTATCAGCACTAACTTTGACAAGGGCAGAAAGCTCAGGTTCTTCCGGTATCACCCCAGATTCAGTCATGTGAGCATCAACTTCATAACATTTATCTGCATTTCCCTCCTTGCAGAAGCCAAATAAAGCTGGCCCATACGACCGGAGTCTTGATGGAATACCAAGACTGTTCATTTGCTTCACCAAATCAAAAGCCATTTCTGGGTCTTCCTTTGCAACGGCCAGTCTAGCCAAGCTCGTAAATGTGGCTTCATTGGGGCAAACTTCATCAACAACCATCTGCTGAAAAATCTCGAAACCCCTTTTCAGACCTAAATTCTTTAACTCATTCACCCCATCCCCATTTTCACTTCCACTCGACTCATCAGATGATGAACCAGAAGACGAACACAAATAAAGCAATATATTGTAATGGTGCTGGCTAAGCGGAACTCCATTAGTCCTCGCCTCATCATACAAGGAAAGCGCTTCCACGAGATTACCTCCCTTAGAGCACCTAGATAACTTACCTTTGAGCACGTTTTCTGGCAAGTCTCGCTCTCTCTTCCTTTTGGCTTTGCCGGAAAGCTCAGTCTTATGGTTTTCATTAGCGGGTGATTTCATAGTAGCAGCGGCGGTACAAAGATGGGTTCTTGTGTTAATGGGTAAGTAACTGACACGAATACTACTAACCCTACCGGTTTTGCGAAACAAGTAAGAAGGGAAGTTAAGTAGTCGGCCAAAAGCTGGGCGATAACCATATCGGTGAATTAAAAGCGACGGAATTTTCGCGCACGAAGAGAGTGAAGAAGCAAAAGAATTCACTCGCAGCATCTTCACCCTTTCAAAACAGAGAAATCTACACAAGCCAATGCGCAGGAAGCTGCATGCATTACGGATTTAC